GACAACATGTCTATGTTGCAAAAAAATCTACACAAGTAAATTATACAAGAACATTCAAGCTTTAGGAAGTCTTAATCCCAATTCCTGATGAAGAGTTTCAAATCCATTACCATGAATTGATCATACGGAGTATATGAAATCGGAATTATATTAATATTGGTAAAAGGAGATCAATCTTAACTTCATAAGATACGAGAACAAATATGTACCAAGTACGGAGTATATCCTAACTAATGTCCGACACACCTTTTTGCATATACTATCCCCATCTCTTTTTAATTGCAATATGTTGACTTTTTGCACGGTTCACATGATCTACTTTGACTACATTTTACACTATTATTTTATGATTTTTTTTAAAAAAAAATATTTTTAATTCATCTCATTACAATTTTTCAAAATCTGATTTTCAATATTTTTTTATTAATAGAGATTAAGACATACTTACGGTCAAATGTGTGCGTCGGCAAATGTGTAAAGGTTGACTGTCGCAACTAAAAAGGAACAGAGGAAGTATATATTTAAGAGTTAATTATCAAAATAGGACTAAAAGTCATTCACTTTGCACAAATAGAACCAAAAAATAAACTATGTTTCCATAGGACTAATTATGTTTGTCTTGGACAAATATACCCTTATACCTATTGGAATGTTTTAATTCATAATAAAATAATAAAAAATAATAAAAATTCGTAAAATATACCAAAAAATTAATAAAAATATTTTGAATAATAATAAATTTAAAAAAAAAATTAAAAAAAATTAAAAAAAAATAAAAAAAATTAAAAAAATTAAAAAAAAATTCAAAAAAATATTTTTTTTGTCACCGCCGCCTATACCGCCCCAGCACCACCACCTCTAGTCATTTGGGGAAAAAATGCCAAATTTATTATGAATTCCATATTTTTGGCATAATTCAGAATGATTTAAGATGGAAGAAAAAAAATGTTGGCATTCTCAAAGAGAAATATGCCATATTTTTGGCATTTTCCGAAAAAATGGAAGTTTGTAGGAAATATGACATTTTTTTTTAACGGTCGGAGGTGGTGGTGCAGGGAGGCGGTACCACCACCTCTTGTCACCGGGGTAAAAAAATGCCAAAAAAATTATGAATGCCATATTTTTGGCAAAAGTCAAAAGGATTCAAGTTGGCAGAATAAAAATGTTGGCATTCTCATAGAGAAATATGCCATTTTTGTGGAATTTAAAAAAAAGTGGCATTTTTTTACACCGATCGGAGGTGGTGGTTCAGGGAGGTAGTACAGGCGGTGGGAAAGGTATCCATATTTTTTTAATTTTTTTTATGGAGTTTTACTATTTTTTATTAATTTTCAAAAAAAAAAAAAAATTCTTATTTTTTATTTTATAAAAATTTTATTAATTTTTTTATTATTTTTCTACGAATTATTGAAATTTTTTCGAATTTATTATGAATTAAACATTTAATTATGATTTTTAGTTATGTTTTACTAATATTTAAAGGAGGGGTAAGAATGGAAGGAAGAAATGAGTATGTTTCCAATAGGACCACTATGGGTCCTATTTTGGAAAAAAAACATAGCAAGTCCTATTTTGAGTTTTTGTCATAGTTTTAGTCCTATTTGAACTAATTTCTATATATTTAACGATCATTGATCGGGCTAAACTTGCAAGTATACAAGTGCCGATGTAGTAATAAAATACCGGTAAATACCGGGTCGATCCACAGGGAAATGGTTGATATTATAAAGTTGAGTAATGGATGCAAGGAATATAAATGATATATTTTTCCAGGAACTTTGCTCTTTGAGATTGATTTAAACAAGAATGAAAATTACTAAGGCAATCGGGATTCACCTAAATGCTTTAATAGTTGTTTAATAATAGTTCTTCCCCAATAATTATGAATACGATGTCACTAATATATTCTCAACTCCGGTTAAGGTAGCGAGAGCGTGGTTTTCGTTACGTGTAAGTCCCGTTAAGGCCTACATTCATCTACCGAAAACCCCGTTGAATATCAAGACATCACTCCCGTATCATATAAGACCGGATATATTTCTATTCTCGGTACTGTATATGTTTATCCTTTAACGTTCATAGTTTAGATTTCAACGTTAATTGTAAACATAAACTAAATTTAGCATACTTCTATGTTGTACACCATAGTCATAAACAATTAAAATATAAAGGATAAATCACAATTTATTGGTTTAGAACTTTTATCAAACACCTAGTATGCATAGAGGTTCATCCCTAGCCTTAGCTAAGAATTAGCCTCTAATGCTCATATTAATCAACAAACAATATGAAATGTAATGGAACATGAAATTACAAAGGAAATAATACCTAAACACCAATGATTTCGGAGGTTGAAGTTTCCTCCTCAAGAACTTGAAGAAAATACCAAGAACAAAAATATAAAAGCTGTGATTTAATCTATGGAATGGAATGTTTTTGCTTGATGAATTGAGGGCTCTATATAGGCTAAAGAATGACATCTTTTAGTCTATTCAAGCCCAACAATTGGGTGTGGAAGCAATATTTGATCAAATATGGAGGAAGATGAAGTTTTCCCATCAAAAATCTTCAGCATGTCGCTGTGTTTTAGCAGGAAATCGGTCCGACCGGCGCCAGTTATGTGATGACCGGCGCCGGTTGTAGCGCCTGAATTTGTACTTCGATTCTTTTTGGTTTGTGATGTCCGAAATTGATCCAGAAGTGCCGGTTTTCGATCCCTTTTGACTTTTGACCCTATTTTTGTTGCTCCAAGCCATATTTCATGTTTCCGCTCACTCGGGAATATTTACCTGTTTTTACTTCACATTTTTGTACAGATAAATATAATTACTTATGTAAAACATAAGTGATTATTTTTGCTTATCAATCATCCAGTCAGTCCATCTACAAAAACAACTTCTACCCTATAAATTTTTAACACCTGTCTTTGGCACAAGTTCGCAAAAATTCATAGTTGATTTGGCACGAATTTGATATAGATCGATGTGTCAATTGCGTTTCAGAATTTGATTATGCAGCTTCTTTCTTACGACGTTGCCCTCGTTTAACGAAGTAGAACCGATCAGCCGGGTTGATAAGGCTGAGAAACGGTTAGAATTGAATTGTGCTCTACCGGGAAAGAAGGCGGCAACCACTGTAGTTGCGATGGAAGGGTCAGCCCTATACCGGTTGACATTGATACGAACACGAAAGTTGGGCATGTCATGGGATGAGCTTACACAGGCGATGGCTTGTTATGACTCACGGATTAAGGGCAATCACTTTGAACGACTGTCCGAAGGCAAGCAGACAGGGACTGTGGAGGAGTACATCTCAATTTTTCCTAAAGATACTGGGCATCCACCGGGAACAAATGTCAGTCGGTTTCCGAATTTCAACCCCGAGGACAAGGTTTTTTCGAAGAGGGATGTAATTGATATGAAGCAGAATCTGGGCTTGGAAGAAGAGGGGCAGAAACCCCCGTGGGTTTACCGAAGGCGGGTCATGCTTGAGCCCACCTTCATGGGCTGGTTGTGGGCTGTTTAATTATTATTTATTCTTTTTATTTTTCCTGATTTGTTTCCTTTTGGAGTTAATTAGGATTTCTATCATTTCTTTCCTAATTGAAGTTGATTAGGATATTTATTATTCTGTTTCCTAGTTGGAGTTGATTAGGATCTCTAGGATTTTGTTTCCTAGTTTAAGAGTTAGTAGATGTGTATTTAAACCCCTTGTTAGGATTCATTCCGAATCATCTTGGAATAAAAGTTGGTTTAGCCTTTTGGCTTTGGGCAACGGTATTTTTTATTGTTGATTAGGTGGGCAACGGTTCACCCCATTATTTTATTTTCTTGTTCTTATCATTCTAGTGGTGAATAAGGATGCTTGTGTCAGCAAGTGTGAGCATCCAACAACTTTATGAGAGTCAATAGGGCGGATACACTCTCCATAGGCGTGGCAAATTGGCATAGGATCGGGGCGGGCAAGGTAATGTAGGTCTCGGACCCGCCTTGTGACCTTAGGTATTAGTGTTCTCACAATGGTTTACCCTCAGGTCCACGTTTCTAGCTTCCGTTATTCCATTATTACTAGTTAATTGTTACTCCCTCCGTCCCACTTTAAGGTTCCCACACGGTTTACGATGTTTGACCGACCATAAAGTTAACTGATCCCTGTCATTAATAGAATTATTTTTAGAAAATAAAATTTACATATTCAGAAACAACATTAAAACCGCTACAAAACCTGCAAAAAATAATTTAGATTTCATAAACTTTCGATAAATAAAGTAAAAGATTAAGAATCATGCACGTTGACCAGAGAATAGTGTACGAGAACCTTTAAATGGGACGGAGGGAGTATTTGAATAAGAAAATAAAAACAAACTCAATAATTAAACCAACCTTCATTTCAAAGGAAAAGTGCTATTTATTTCTTACCAATTAGGCTAACTGTAATAATCTCTGTCAATAAATCAAATTATCCACCAATTTGTACATATTTATTCAATCAATTCTGTTTTTTTCCTCCAAATCAGCATCGTCAATATATTCAACCAACAAAGTTTTTTAATTTAGGGTAATTTTCCTTAAAATAAATTTGCTCAGTAAAGTCAGTGAATATGTTGTCGGTTAACCTCAAAATAACTAAAGAATGTTTTAATTAGGTTTACATATTGACCATGTGACAAAAGAATAGAGCAGTCCATGCCACGCCATACAATATATACACACTAGCCGTACAATAAATACGAGGAGACTGAAAAAGAACTGAACGTGTTTATTATAGCAAGAATTTTAAATTCGGCGCTGAATGGCTGGCAGGAAATTCATTTGTTACCATTAAAAGAAAACATTATGATACTTCGAAGAAAACATTATTATTATTCTAATAAAAGAAAGTATTAATAACCTTCACCCATTTATTTTGACTTTCCATGCCCAGCGTTGGTAGTTGCCTTGTTAATATGCAGCTTCCTTCTATATAACACACTCCACTGTTATATATGCCTTCTCTTCGATCAGCTCCCCTAACAAACAGATCTCTTCAAAGATTTCTTTCCCCTTCCATTAGATCTCTGTGAAGTCAAATAGTCACAAAATGGATGAAATTGCTTCATTTTGGAATTATCATGAAATGCAGCAGGTACAATCCCCCTCCCCCCCATTTTTATCTTTTTTATAAATAACCGAAATAGATACTCTAGTTTATGATTCTAAAAAAAAAGATACTCTAGTTTATGCCCCTGAAAATGATTACCAATCAATTATTTGTTTTGCATAGAATTTTGGATTTAGTCTCGTACCTTATATATGCAATGCTAACGTACCATCTCTGTGAGAAAATTTTACATTTTACTTGCCACATTTTACTAAAATGTACCATCTCTCTGAGAATTTTTTTACATTTTTATCAATGGAGGCAAATTTATTTGTAATAAGATAGAAGGGGCATTGACCCAAAAAAAAAAAAAAAGATAGAAGGGGCAACTAAAAACGGCCAAAGGGGCGACAGAAAGTTACGAGACTAAGCCCGTAACTCTGCCTCAGGGGTGAAGATAGGGGAGGGCCGGGAGGCTGGATAGGGCCTCGGCCCCCTCGAGAAAAGCTTTGACCCCTAACCCGCCATTTCTGACTCCTTCTCTCGCTTCTTTTTGCCACTTCTATATGAAGTCGATTGATTTTGGAGGCTTACCGGGATCTAATTGCTTATTTGAAAATCTATTCCAGGATATGGAGGAATTGAAGCACGTGCTATTAGAGACAAGTCTCGAACTCGAACGCTTGAGGGCGGAAGCTAGCGATGAAATGAGAAAGAATAAAGAGTACACTAAGCAATTGATTCAACTTCTGAAGATTACATGCAAAGAAAGGGACGAAGCAAGAGAGCAGCTTCAGAAGCTCCTAAGTAGTACCGGAATGACGATGATGCCGTCGGAGTCGAACGTTTCTTCCTCCGTCGAGTCCTTCCCGGACGCCGCCATCGTCTCGTCTCCGGCCCAGCTTTTACTTCAAGATTGCAATAGTAATAATTATGTCAATATTAGCGGTAATGGAGAAACAATGGGGGAAATGGAGAGGCTTTTGAAGGGAAAACCTCTGCCGCAGAAAGGGAAGCTCTTGCAGGCGGTGCTGGACGCGGGGCCGCTCCTCCAGACGGTTATGGTGGCGGGGCCTCTTCCACGGTGGCGCAACCCGCCTCAGGCTAAGCCATTCCTTATCCCGCCGGTTAACGTTAAAGGGATTGAAACTGAGAATACAATGTTTAGACTACAAAATTCTCCGTCATACCCTTGTTACTTTGAGACCTCTTGTGGGAATAGTGAAATGTTAAGTTCCGGAGTACAATTTCCGCGGATGGTACCTCCGGGGCATTATGGTCATTTAGGTAAGCGGCAAAGATTGCAGTGAAAAATGAGAAAAACGGTTTTCACAAAGGTTTGTATAAATTAATTCTAGTAACCTATGAGTCGATTTTGAATCTGATCGAGAGATATTTTTTATCATTATCATCATACGTCGTATATAGTTTAATCTGAGTCTTAATATTTAGCCTATTTTGCCTTTGCTATGTAGTCATCTGTCGAATGTACCCTAATTGAAAACTCTGTATTCGCATCTTTAGTTTTTTTATAATCCAATATTGGTTTCATATGATAGATTATAAATAACTATTGTTGAGATTTATTCCTTCAACTTTTGGGTCCAACACGTGAGCCCAAGGATTTCGAGTGGAGTGGTGTATGTGTGTATGATTAACTGACCCAACAGGCAAATAAGATGGATTAAAGAGTGTATATAGCAGGTAAGAGATTAGGTATTATTAATAAGTTAATAACTCCCCAATACAATACGCTTGCTAAGGGCTCGTCGGCCGTACGTCTTACAGGGCAGTAGAAGAGCTGCGAGTAAGAGAAATATAACAGTGCTAAGAATAGTAAGCTGTCAACCCTTTACAATGAAATAAATGCTGCTATTTATACTACCAATGGGCAGTTGGCTATGCTGACGTGGAGGGATGTGTGTGGCTGGTGTCCCAACCACCAAATCTTTAGCATTAAATGCGCTTCCCGCCAGAATCTGGGTTTCCCACCTAACTTGTGGAGACGTACGTCCCGCCGGGATGGGGACATGCTCCTGGTGATGCTGCAAAGGGCAGTGGGCCGCTCGTATCCTGGCCCTTAGAGGATTTGTCACTTAGATTGGATTGGCATCAAGTGGCTTGGGGTGGCGACGTTCGTCGCCACTGAATTTGCTTGTGGGCTTGATCCACCATTATCTGTCCGGACGATCGTCGGGAAGGGCTTCCCTTTGGGTTGGACGCTCGTCGGAATGAGGGGGTGAATGGGCCGGCCCCTTTACTTGGGCCATTAACGCAACACAAGTCCCCCACTTCTGATGTTCGAGCATGCGTGGGACATAAAGAAGTTGTTAGTACCCAATTTTGATAGATTTTGATGATGCCACTATACTTCACACAAGTACATTGTGTCTTAATTAATTCTGAACATTAGTCTTTAAATTTAATCATAAGTGACAAAATAAATGTACAATTTTTGAGACTAAAGAAATATTACCGGAAAATAAAAATGCAATAAGGTAAGTTTTATTTACCTTAAAAGGATATTTAGATCCTACCGGCACATATTACTTTAGCTCAAAGATTAAATGTCACATACTTTTCACCCAAATATCATATACATTGAATGTGTATGATTGGAAGACAAAACTTGACCCGCATTAAAGTACCGGGTCGAATCCACAGGGAAACGTTGTTTAATTTAGTCCGAGAGTAGATGACTTTTAATTCAATAAATGAGTAAAGTGCAGGGATTTTGATTTGTGTTTTGTATTTTTGGCTTTTCACTTTTAATTCAAGGAAACAACTTTAATTAATTCGGGTTTAAAATGAATAATAACAACGGCTAAGGCTTCGGGAATCACTTAAATGCTTTAATAGGGTTGAATATTAGTTCTTTACCAATAATTATGAATACGATGTCGCTAATATATTCTCAACTCCGATTAAGGCAGCGAGAGCGTGGTTTTCGTTACGTGTAAGTCCTGTTACGGCTTACATTCATCTACCGAAACCCCGTTGAATATCAAGACATCACACCCGTATCATATAATACCGGATATATTTCTATTCTCGGTAATATATATGTTTATCCTTTAATGTTCATAGTTTAGACTTCAACGTTAATTGCAAGTATAAACTAAATTTAACATACTTCTATGTTGTACACCATAGTCATAAACAATCAAAATGTAAAGGATAAATCACAATTTATTGGTTTAGAACTTTTATCAAACACCTAGTGGGCATAGAAGTTCATCCCTAGCCTTAGCTAAGAACTTAGCTCCTTAAGCTCATATTAATTACAAAAGTGTAACTAAGAACAATGAAATACAATAACATACAAGAAATAATACCTAGAACCAATTGTAGAGGAGAGAAATGGTTTCTTCTCCAACACTTCAAGAAAATGCAAAAAGGAAATATAAAAACTGAAATTTAATCTTCAAGAATGGAATGATGATCTTGTTTGATGAATTGGGGGCTTTATATAGGCTAAAGATTGACATCTTTTAGTCTATTCAAGCCCAACAATCAGGCATGGAAGATATATTTGATCAGATCATAAGGAAAGTGGAGTTTTCCCATCAAAATATGGCTGCACGTCTTTGTGTTTTATGCAGATTCGGGCTTAACCGGCGCCGGTTTTAGGCTTGACCGGCGCCGATTTTACTTTGGGGCTGAAATAATACTGAAAAACACCATAACCGGCGCCGGTTATAGGGTAAAACCGGCGCCGGTTATACGTCGGCCAACCGGGAAAATGGCAGATTAAATGCAACCGGCGCTGGTTTGGTGAAATTCCGGCGCCGGTTTTGTCCTGGGATTTTGGGGATGTTCCGCTACGAATTTGGACATGAGTCCTTCACCAAAGTTGTAGATAATGAAGTCGTCTATCGACCAAAACTTGAATGACGTGATTTTATTCATCCAATCAAACGTTACGGCTAAAACACTGAGAGGTATGCATCCTGAAATCCCACCAGCAACATCTGACTTTGTTGGTTGATTGAGTCTTGTTCCTTTCATATTTTGGCCATGACGTCTTCATAACATTTGTACCTTATTGACTTAGCATTCACATGAAACTCGAATCGAGTGATTTCGAGTTCTATAGAATACGTTATACTCAAATTATGGGCAGAACGTCATTCTCTTGGTCTAAAAAGTCGTTCATCGCAATGTTTTATGCTCTAACTCTCATTTTGGAGGTATTTGCCCGATTTCTCTTCCTTTCTTCAACAAGTACTTATAAATACTTATGTTAAACACAAGTAAATATAACGGCTATCACCAACTATTGGAGACAGCCGCATTAAAAGCTCTAGCATAAGAAGATGAATGTACAATTTGTCCTGGTCAGATTCCCAACGCAGAGATTAAAACATACTAACCAACGGATGAGATTAATCCAAAGGAAAAGCCTATAAATATAGGCTTAAACGGAAGTTTCTAAGTAGAGCATCCTAAGTAGAGAAAAAACTCCCATTGAGCATATACGAGCTATCTAGCAAAAGAGAAAGTGCGAGCTTAACTTTACTCTCTGCTTGGACTCATGTTTCACTAAGCTCTTAGACTAGATCATGCATTGTCATATTTTTAGAGCTTAGATTTTAGTTGGTGGCCAAAAATTTCTTGTAACATTTCACAGTGTTGTAAACACTTAGGAGAACAGTTGTTCGGATCCTAAAATGTGGTTAGATAGATAGAGTACCCTTTGATCCCCACTGGATCAATTGAGAAAAGTGTAAAGGATTGAGTAACTTTGAGTGGTGCTATACTCATTGTGAAACACCTTCAATCTCGGCCTAAGTGTTGTAAAGGCTAGATTGGCACTAAGTGTATTGGGCTTAATACTTTAGTGGAAATCCATCTGAGATAGGGTGGGACTGGACGTAGGAGGATTACACCACCTCTGAACCAGGATATACTGTGTGTTGATTTACATTCAGTCAACAAAGCACACACACTCAACACATCTCACTAAAAGGATCGTAGTTTGCCAGCAGCATCCTAAGCAGTAGTCTTGATTGACTCTACTGCTTATCCTACTGCTTAATAACTCACTTTCCTTTGAGACAATCTTTCTACAAGAGCCTTACAATATCTCACTAAAAGGTCTGCTCTATCAGATTCCAGGAAATCATCATTCAAGTAAAGCAGTTGCCTCAGCAGTTCCCTGTTTCCACCCAACTGCTAAGCCCACTGCTCTTACACACTTATTTCCTTTGAACATCTTGACGTTACTAAAATCTCAGAACATCACTGCCAAGAAGCCTGTCCAAACTATTCTCTGAAAATCTGCATATAACTCAGCAGGTGCCTCAGCAGTTCCCTTGTGTCCACACAACTGCCAAGACCACTGCTTCAGTAAAACTCTCAGTCATATTCACTTCAGTACATCCTCGGAAAACCCTCATCATCTTCAGTAAGGCTACACAATCATATTTCCCAAACTCCTATTTTCCACTAACAGTTGCCTCAACGGTTCACTATCATCCAGGCAACTGCTAAATCAACTGCTCAATGTCAAGCCAACTGCTCTCCATTTAAGTCCAAACTTTACTCAAGCCAGAAAGTAATTACTAATTAAGTATTTAGAGGTTAAAGACTTCCGCTATGCATCTATTAATCTCCCAAAAGATTATAGATCAACTCATCTAGAAGGGAAAGTTTTTAAATTGAAAAAGGTTTAAAAGTCTACTCACCCCCCCTCTTGACTTTTACCTCTATCAGGGACCATCAGAAGTATTCCGCTTCTCAGGGGTGACACGTTCCCCACCGCGGTGTTTCTTAATTGGCGATGGTCCAGGAATCGAGGTGACGGCTGCCGCAGAAACGGTGCGTTTCTCGAGAGAAGGTCATCATTACGCCTATTGCTCCATGTGCGACGCGTACCCCGGTTACGCTCCTCGCCACGCGTCACCTCTCCATTGGTTTCATGAAACGGTGCTTCCCTTATAAATACCAGAATTTCCCAGAGGCTTAGGGTTTCCGATTTTCGCCTTCTCGCTCTAGGATCTCCGCCGTCTTGCGATCAGTTCGTTGCCAAGGTTTCTGACTCGTTTCTATTTGTTCCAAGGTAATTCCAGTTTTATTTTTCCTCTTGTAACCCCTTCTAGCTCTGTGATGACTTCGATGGAGATTTCCTCGAGCTACGGTTCGGGCTCCTCTTCTGGCTCCAGTTCTTCTGGCTCTGGGTCCAGCTCCCGCTCTTCTGGGGGCGCCAGTACCTCCGGCCGCTCCGGCTCTCCACCCGTCATAGGGACAGTTGCTCAGGATGACGCCCCTGGTTCCCCTGCCTCTACCAATGCTACTTCGGCCGGCTTGGTTCAGGGTGATGCCAATCCCGAGGAAGATGGGGGCGATATCGCCCTAGGACAAGTAGATCAAGTATTTGAGGATGCG